TTGTAGGCCAGAGGTCTCCAAACTTGGCAACTTTAAGACTTGTGGACTTCAACTCCCAGAATTCCTCAGCCAGCTATGCTTCTTAAAGTTGCCAAGTCTTCTGGGGACCCCTGTTCTAAGGCAACAATTTTGCTAGCACTGAACGGTCATCTCTGACAACTACCAGGTGCCAAATCGTATCACCTTGCCAGCTGCTCTTTGGTCATCAACCGTACAAGTTTCTTATCAGAAACATCTGGCTCCTCATTACACCAGAATTCGAAGGAACTCAGTGATGGTGGCCTGTTCATTCCTGCACCGAGCCTGGGGAATCCCTCAGAGGGAGCACCGCTCCCTGATGCTCTTCCTGAGAGACCACTTTGGACCCTCCTTCAGTGGCTGCTGTTAACTGGCATGTTCCACGTCTAAAGTTTCCTGCTCCACCGTTTTCTCCTCTGGCTGCACATACTTCTCCTGGACTGCCAGGGTGCTGATGAGAGAGAGTTAAGGAGAAAGGAAGTCCAAAAGCATTAAGAAAGCCAAACTGGGCCCATCTGCTTCAGTTGACTGGCAGGAGAAACATCTGCATATACAGGTGGTCCTCGATTTACAATTCATTAGGGACAGTTCAAAGTTACAATGGCCCTGAAAAAAATGACTTGTGATGATTTTTCACACTTATGACCATTGCAGCATCTCCAGGTTCATGTGGCCTTGGCAATTGAGTCGTATTATATTGACAGTTGCAGAGTGTCCTGGGGTTGTATGATCGTCTTTTTGTGACCTGACACGTAAAATCAATGAGGAAGTCAGATTCATTTAACAACTGTGTGACTAACTTAACAACTGCAGTGATTCACTTAACAACTGGGTCAAGAAAGGTTCTAAAATGGGGCAAAATTCACTCAACAAATGTTTTATTTAGCAACAGGAATTTTACGCTCAATTGTTGTCGTAAATCGAGGGCTCCTTGCACTACCCAAAATGGGGGATGGGATAAAAAGGAGCAAAAGTGGCAAAAATAACTTGGCAGGGCAGGGCAGGGTGTACAGCCTACCAGATAATCCTCCCATTGCTACCTTGCTACCACGGGTCTAAAATGCCCTTTAAATGACACCATCGTGATAAGCAGATTTCCCCAACCTCTGCATTTCCTAAGGCAAAGAGGTACCAGGAAGGAGACAGAGCCAAAAGGATACGATGTAAATTGAAAATCAGCTCCCATTGCTGCCGACATCAAGACGTTGAGGTTTCTGTGCTCAGAGTCCCCAAAACAGTAACCATTGGCTTTGTCCACTGCCTGCATCACACACCGCATGCTCTCCTTGTCCTGAAACAAGGAACCATAAGAAACATGTCACGCCCAAATTGATTTCTCTGCCATATTTCATCCTGTTACTCACCGGCTTGATTACTGGCAGGCAAGTCCCAGCAACAGATTAACTTTTTTTTTAATAAAATGAATCCTCTGAGCAATCTTACTTTCAAATCTGAAAGTTTTCTTTAGGAAGAACAGATTGCAAAAGATGTACAGACATGCAATCACATTGCCATGAGATTATAGTTATCAAATGCTAGAATAAACAAAGAATCAGCCAGGAGTTTATAGTATCATTCTATTAACTTCAAACTATTCTTCATTCCTTAAACATCCATAACAGCATTTATTTAGTCAGGTGCACACCTGCTGGGCACACACCTTTTCAACTGTTTTGACCAGTTGTGAGGTACTGTCCTCACAACTGGTTAGTTTCAGAATTAAGTTATCTGTGTGTCTTGTTTTACCTCTTAATTTCATTCCCTCTGCACTAACAAATGCATGCCACACTTGTCTCAAGCATAGTAGTTTGCAGCTCAAGTGTAGGTAAAAATGGTAGAAGGAAGTTGATGGGCACTACCAAAGCTTCATCTATTATTCTCTTTGACTTGCTTACCTGGACATTGAGAGGAACAAAAGAGACCAAACTGTAGTCTTCAATCACTCCCACCAGCTTCTTGTTCAGGCGTTGGTAGTTCCTGAAGAATGGATCTGAGGCCAAGTGGTCCACTAAGTAGGACAGATCAAGAACCTCTGTGTAATAATCTAGATTAAATGCTGTAAGGCAAGTGAAAGGGGAAAGAAATCTTTAGTAAATTCAGAGGGAGAGACAATTTGGTGTAGTGGTTTAAGGCTAGTTCCTACCTTGGGTATAAAGTCAACTGGGTAATTTTGGGCTAATCAATTTTCTTTTAGCCCTAGGAAAGAGACAATGGCAAACCACTTCTGAAAAACCTTGTCAAGAAAACTGTAGGGACTTGTCCAGGCAATCTTTGAGAATAGTTAGCCCTGCTTTCAAAACAGGTATATTTCTGCTATAAAGATTTGACTTAGACTGCAATAGTAATTTATCTAGGCAGTTGTCTGACTGACAAGATCTTCCACAGCAACCACCCAACTATAAATGAATTATGGCTACCCTCAGCTGACTCAAGTGGATTACATACACCTGATCTGATGTGTAATGGGGCCTTAGTAATTACTTCAATGAGTCTCACAGTTCTCTTAGGATTGACTGCTCTCACCTAACTTCCCATACTGCTCAATAAGGTCCATTTTGGAGAGGATGTTGATGTGGGGCAACTCCACGTGCAGCATTGTGGCAAGGGAAGTGCAGAGAACAGAGATGAATTTGCCAGGATCGGTGCAGTAATGAGAATCTACCAGATGAACAGCAGCCAACTACAAAGAACAAACAATAGGATTGAGAAATTAGCATGCCGTCTGGAAAATGCTGGGAGTTGAAGTCCACACGTTAAAAGTTGCTACGGTTAAGAAATTCTGGTTTAATATATGCAGACAAGTCACCTATACAATAAACGAGACTAGTCAGGAATGGGAATAGAAAGTAGTTGTCTTTCAGATGACCCTGAACTAAAAGTACTCATTTTATACTGTTCACACCATGGCTTAACAAAAATAGGAGAGCTATGGGTACAAACCTTACATTACACCTCCTACTAAGAGATGTAAGTTTCTAGTAGTATTTTAACAATATTTTGATGTAAAGTGGGAATAAAGTTTAAAGAAGATTTTCAAATCGAAACTGAGGTGTAGAACGCCAAAGACTCTGGACTCTGGTGATACCACAAACATTAGACGTATCAATAGCATTATCAGTGTACAATAGAGACTAACAAGTTAAATACAGGCTAGCAAATCTGCCTTCAGGTTTCTCTTTCTTTTTGCTGCCATCTAGTGATTATTTGGATTTTCCAGATCAGCTGTAGTTGAATACATCTTCTTTTCAAGCTCATGCAATTTCTACCAAACATCATAAACACATAAAATGCACCATACAGCTTCACGGTTTTGTCACTGGGAACTAGTTTGAAAAGGCAGCTGTTATCACATATAGTCGCTGTGAATTGGGACAGACTGAGGATGAGGTTTGGCCTTCAGGAATGATCTCGCTTCCTCCGAACCAAACATACCCTGAAATTCCACTTAGCAAGTTGAGCAAAGATGTTTCTCAATGAATTATGATGGGTGCAGAGCTCCACTTGTCCGGGGCAATCAAACAAGAAGTAATGTCCTTTCAGTTGGTCCAGTTTCTCCTGCAGCCAGTCAAAATTCGCCTCTAGGTACTCCATGCAGTAGATTAAGCCACCGTTGGGGCCAAGTTTCAAATTCTCCATCACATCAGCCAAGGTGATCAGTTCAGAGATATCTACAGCACACTGGAACGGAATCCCTTCATTCGCTGGGTCCAGGTTCACCACAGCTACCTTGCGCCCAATTGCAGAGAGGAATTCCTGCATGCCATGACAATAGGTGGTTTTCCCGGAGCCGGGAGGCCCAATCACTACCTGACCGAAGGCCACGGATGGCTGCTTGTCGCTTTTCGACATGCTGCAGGTTTCTTGCTCCTAAAAACAGACAACCAGAAAGAATTAAGACCAGTAGGCAGGGATGAGCCTACACTGCTTATACCTGTTGCTATCCACATTAAATAAAGCAATTCGTACCATGCACAACAAACACAGTTGTATGATAAACTCATATTATTTACATTCCCACATTACGAAACCTTGTGCAAAAAAAAGGGGGGGGGGAGTGGATCGGAGAGAGCCGGGAAGGGCAAGAACCTCTCGGTCCCTTTTTTGCAGAGGAGGAAACCACCTTCTAGGCCACCCTTAGGCTCAATGCGCCGCGCCGGGCTGGGAAGAAGAAAAGCGGGACTCGCTGCAACCGGGGAAACGCCACGCCATGCAGACCGGAGGCGGGAGATGCAAAAGCCCTCCCGGTCCCTCCGGTATAGAGATAGGAGCGGAGCACACGATGCCTCCGACAGTCCTCCTCCGTCAGCAGACCCGTCTGACCACCGTTTAGGATCCTAACGTCCCATAGGATTCACCTGGGATTTCGCTACTGGGTCCTTCTACCGGCCGCTTTCACTCATTGCGCTGGGAGATGATCTCCAGGCGTGAAGGAGCGTTTGTCTACACTTTCTTTCGTCTACAGTACAAACGCAAAAGCTGGCGCTCTATCTCGGGCTATCTCGATGGTAAGTGGCATTTAACCAGGCAGGAAACGGAAAGCGTCATGTAGTTATTGTATAACTATAGGCGAACGACCGGCGCCCCCTGCAGGATGGGACGTGCCAAGGAATGGACACTATCGTTTTTGGTTGTTCGCTAAGCCTAGGGGTGGCCAAGGGAATAGCAACGAGCAGAAAGAAGGAATGCAGTAATAAAAACGAAGGAAGGACAAGTTGAAGATACTGCATGAGCAAGTCACAAAACAAATAAGTATGCTGGGAGTTTGCCACAAGCAATAATGGTTAAAATAGTGTTTCTCAAAGTCTTTGTTGACTTTAACATGGGCAGATCAATTGGTTGGAGAATTCTGGACGTTGATGTCCTCCCATTTTAAAGTCACCCAAGTTGGAAAAAAATGGTCTAAATAATTAAATTTCAATTCTAGTAATCATTTCCTATCAATTTTGTTTGTGGTTAGGTTGCTGGTTTTCTATGCTTTAATGTGATGTAATTAACTGTAAAGTAGCCGGACCCTTTGGCTATACCTGCCCCTGCCCATGGAACATTAATCAAAAATTAGAAATCAAATGTAAATAAGTGTACACCATGTGTCCAATATAATTGTATTGCTTTCATTTTGAAGGCATTGTTTTCAATTTATGTGTATGTAGGGGGTGCATGCCTATGCACTTTCAAAGCCCTATACTGGTTTGGCCCTCAACAACAGTCCCAGTTTCTCATGTGGCCTCTTGGGAAAATTAATTGCCCACCCCTGGGCTAGAGAGAGATATTGTAAAAACAGCATTGCTAAGTAAAAACATAGAAACAACCTGTATCCATTTGATTTTACTTCTGTGTTGTGTCTTTTAAAATTTTGCTGGTCATTGACCAAATAAACATTGCTATTAATTAACTATTATTAACTGCATTATGTTCAATCTTGTTGATCAAGTTTACTCCTCTTTTAGTCAGAGTATAACCATTGCTCTTTAATTACACTATATGCTAGGCCAAACACCCTTCACTGCAAAAAAGGCGTATGCAGGACACCCCTTAATTCAAGGATGAAAATGCAAGATTTCATATAGACTGATTACAGTGTAGAGTGTGAACTGTAGACATGCAGAGGTGGGATCAGCAATTACCCTTCAATTAATTTTATAGTAAAGAACCAAGAAGCAGAACCAGGTAATTTTTCTTTTAATATAAATAATTAAAACTTGCCCTGGCTTTCCTATAACACATATTTTGTTTGATAATATACAGTAATAATAAAAATTGTATATAAAAAATTGATCACTGAAAAAGCTGACACAATCTGAAAGTCCTTCCTTCTTGGCTAGTCCTTCATGGAGAACTGGAATTCTTCTGAACGCCATGCCTGGCATGGACAAAAGGCACCTCCTGCCGGTACTTCATACTGATTGGCAGCTGACACCGAAGAAGCTGATCTTCTGTGTCCACAGGATGAGGGTCATCGTAGATGGTAGAAATGAGGCCGTAGCTGTCCCTACGTGGATTCTTGGGCTTGGTAAAAGTCTGGAGTTTCTCACCATGATACCTAAAGAAGAGCAGAGAATGAGTCGGTCTTCAGAGACAAAACAGAGATATTCTGCTTTCAGCTCTGTACAATATAAAAAGTATATTAGAGGGGGAAATTCCCAAATCTAGCAAATAAAACAATACAATTGATGCAATCCTTTTGTCATCCTCATGAGTATTTTCTAAGGCCCCTGTTCTGAAATCTGGCAGAAGCATTTTTGCTTATTAGCATACATATATGTTTGGTGTGTGAATATTTGCAGAAACTGATGTGAAAAGAGAAGGATATTTGTTGTAAGTTTCAGTTAGGTATATTTGGGAGAGAAGAAAAAATATTCTATTTGTTGCATTTAATGACTCGTACAAACCAAATTTACAAACACTACAAGAGTGATTAAAAAGTCCATGGAAATAGCCATTCCAAAATATTAAAACATCTTTGGTACCCACCGCTAAAACATCCACAAAAAGAAAGAAAAAAAGCCAACAATAAAACATTCACAGTATAAAGACTTTCACCCTAACAGCACATACTAAACTATGACATCTGAATCACATGGACAACAAAGACAACCAAAGGGACAGTCCTCCATCCAAAGTCTTGTAGAATAGTTTGGGATTAACAATCTTCCAGAAAGCCTGCAGTGTGCCGGCCAATCCAGTATCATAAAGCGAGTGATTCCACATTGTTGGGATCATAATGGAGAAACAGCATCTTCAGCTTCCTTCACTTTACAGTAGTGAGGAGTCCCTCCCTGGGAGGCTTTCCTTCCTGGCCAGTCCTTCATGGAGCTGGAGAAGGAGGACCTGCAGATACCGTGATGCCAAGCCATCCAGGGTTTTATAGGTCAACTTTCTATTCATCTTTTAGTTTGTATTCATTTTCATATTTACTGAAATTACTCTATATATAAAAAGAAAAGTCTTCCCTTAACACAAAGGGTCCCCAAACGTGGCAACTTTAAGACTTGTGGACTTCAACTCCCAGAATTCTATGCTGGCTGGAGAATTCTGGGAGCTGAAGTCCACAAGTCTTAAAGTTGCCAAGTTTGGAGACCTCTGCCTTAACATATTGGGAGCATTATCATTTCTAGACCTTGTAAAAAATACTCATTTTTAGGATGCTTCCAATACTGACTGCAGAGTCTGTACAGAAAGCCACAGTGAAACTAATTATATGTTTCCCTCATTTTACAGTTGGCATGGAACTGAGGGTTTATGTCAGTTTATTCTTATAAACAGCTTTTAGTGCAAGAAAATTATCCCTCGGATATTCTGATCTCCAATTTTGCATCTTACCCAGACAGCAACACTGTAGATGCTACAAGATTTCTCCAGAATGCCAGGTTGTTTCATGTGTTTTTTGTATTTTAAACACAATCCTGAGACTTGAGGCCACCAGCCCATTCACACATGCAGAGCTGGTTCTTTATACGGAAGCCCTTAGCTGCACTTACTTTGAAAGAGACCCACATCACTTACCCCAAACCTCGCTTGCATCGGGGATTCCGTCCCTCATTGTCCAAGGCTTCAGCCATTCCTGAACTGCTGCTTCCCAAGCCAAGACCTTCACTCCAGCCCTGTCTTTCCATCACTTTTCGGCCAATGCCCTGGCACAGAAAGAAAACCAGTTCTAAAGCAACAAAGCACTGATGCCAGAATAAAGAGAGGAACCAGGTTTTTAATTAAAGAAACAGTGGCATCATAAGCATACAGGCAGTTCTCAACTTACAACCACAATTGAGCCCAAAATTTCCATTGCTAACCAAAGCAGTTAAGTAAATTTTGCTCCATTTTATGAAGACCCTTGTTAAGCAAATCATTGCGATTGTTAAGTGAACAATGTGGTCACTGAGCCTATCTGGCTTTTCCCATTGAGTTTGCTTGTCAGAAACCAGCTTGGGAAGGCTACAAATGGTAATCAGATGACCCCGGGACTGTCAACTGTCATAAATACAGGCCAGCTGCCAGGTGCCCAAATTCTGATTTTGTGACCACGGGGATGCTGCAGTGGTTGTAAGTGTGAAAACCAGTCATAAGTCACTTTTCTTCATTGCTGTTGTGATTTCAAATGTCACCAAACGAATGGTTTTATGTTAAGCCATTAGTTTGATTCAACATAGCTGGGAGGCTTTAGCATCACATGACATTGTCCTTGCCTCTTGTGCTATAATCATACATTTCATTAACATCTGCAGCAAAATTGTTCTCAACTAATGGCTTCCCAAGATTTGCTCTATTTTATTTCAGACAAGTAGTTTGAGGGGGTCCTTGGTGCTCTCTGAACTTGTTTTCTTGCAGGCGTTTATAACATCAGTTTCATTTCTTAGTTTGGGTAATGAAACATCTACAAGAAAACAACCACGCCCAGAGAGCACCAAGGACCCTTCATTTCAACCCTGAGCTACAAATATTTTCCTTTATTGGTAACAAGTAATATATTCCAACTTCAGTTCTTACCTTGGTATATTTTTCAAAGTTCCCAATGCGTTGACCCAGGATAGACCCATCTTCTAAACCATCCCGAAGTCTCTGTTCAAACCGCATCTGTACCAAATCTTTAGCATCCTTGTCACCACCATCTAGAACAAATGGAAATCCCACATAAATTTTCTGCCACAAGAAAAGAGGAGGGAGCTTTGTCTACATACAGGGCATATGAATACAGAAGGCCAAAGTGCTTCTGGTGAAATGAGACCAGGCAGAAGAGCAAAAAAAATGTCTTTGGACTTTGGACAGTTAGTGAAGTAGGTATCAGTCAAGAGAAAGGGAGCTTTAAATGCTCAGCACGTGAGTTCCAAGGATGGATTTCTAAAAACAGCTGCTAAAAGTTCTTTTTACCAATCCTGTTTTGCTGGCTGAAATGGCTTCTGTTTAATTAGGGCTGATTTTACATTCAGTGCCTTAAGAAATGGATTGACAGCATGAGACAGGATAGTTTAAAAGGAAATGAGATGGAACAAACTAGTTCTGTTGATAGTCAGGAACAGACAAACCGAAGCAGATGGAATTTTAAAGTTACATGCTACTGCAAGTGCATATGTGGGATGATGAAAAAGCAACCAGGTAGAAACAATAGAAGGGCACTTAACCTATATTACAAAGACTTGCAATCATTTGAAATTTAGCCATATATATAGTCCTCAGTTACCCCAATTGGGGCCATCAATTCCATTGCTAAGTGACACAGTCATTAAACAAGATATCAAGGGATATCTTCATAGTTTCACTGTTGGCTTCTCAACTGACTCTATTTGTTGAAAGCCAGCAGTGAAGCATGCAAATAGCAATAGCACTTACT